ACAGTAAATACTATAGCTAGCTAATAGCTAATAGTTGCTAAATTTTTAACAAGTGCCCATTTAAATCCACCCGCTAATGGGTACTTGGATAGCGAATTCAAAGTGCATATAAACTATTATCACCTATTAGCAACACAAAACTAGCTAATGGAACTAATAGCTAGCATCTCCGCAACTAATAATTATCAGATTTATTAGGAGGTATGTTTGGATCTATCAATGCTAATTTTATCTGCTAATTTTAACCACTATGTTTAGATCTACTAATGCTAATTTTATTTGCTAATTTTAATTGCTAATGGATCCAAGCAGACCCTTAGTTGCCATCACAATGTGTAGCATGATTCTGTTGTATTAAATTAGATCTTGCACACCATAAGACCATTCTCAATAGAGAGCTTTATGGTGTTGTTTCTATATCGTATACTACATTCGTCCAAAAAAGAATGCAACTATGGGTTGCGTGCCTCGTAGAATGGTTCACGTTTGATTAAGTTTCTAGTGAATGATATTCATATTTATAGCTTCAAATTAATTTATTATAAAAATACATTTTGTAATTAATCTAATAGTATTTATTTAGTATCATAAATATTGATATTTTTTATTTATAATTGGTTAAACTTAAGGTACTAAAATATGACATTGTGCTAGAATTGCATTCTTTCTGTGATGGAGGGAGTAAAATGAAATGAAAAACATGAATGAAACATCCATTCTCAATGCATAGTTTCTTTCTATAGCATAGACATTTAATTGCATAACTCATATAGAGTTGGTAATTATGTGAAGAGAGTTTCATGTCACTTCTTCTCTTTTGTTAAGAACTTTGTCATGTTATAAAAACACCTATGTAACATCCTGTTAAATACAAATAAAATTCAAGTGAAACTTTCTCCACTTTTCGCTGAGACTTGCCCAACTCCAAACAACTTACATACACAGAGATCCGCTGTTAGCCTCACACTTCGAGATATATTCAGCGCCAGCAGGAGCTTCGATGAGTTTACCTTTATCTTTGCTAATAGATCTTGTAATAGGGTAGCTCATGAATGTGCTAGACAAGTCTCTTGTAACAATGTATTGGAGGAGTGGCATGATAATCCTCCATACTGTCTACAGGGGCTGGTAGCAAATGTATGTAATCACGCGATGATATAATGAATGAAGCTCCTAATTACCTCAAAAAAAAAGTGTGAAAACTTTATCTTCGACTCACTGAGACGTGGTAAATATTTTGGACATATGCGACAGTGGGAACCAAACATGCGTAGAGGCCGAGAGAGGAATCCCCATTGGAGGTAGAGATTCTAACCTCCGATTTCCGTTTATGGGCAGCTGTACTACTTGTCACATCATCAACTGTTCTGCTTTAACACCGGGGACGCTGTACATCGAAACAAACTGATGGACGACTGACGATCCATGCTTCCACACGCGAACCGTTCGTTCCTCACTTCCTCTGGCCAGTAGAGTGAAGGCTGTGGAGCAGACAGTAGTACCCATCGCGCGTGCTGCTTGTTGTGCTAAGGACCCGAATTGCCACCAAATCGACCCTTTTTTCTCTCTGATCGGGCCACCAAATTATCGGTTTGATCAGTCGTAAGTGCATTGCTGGGAATTATGCGCCCAGAGACCTTCGTACCACTGCAGAGGAAATCGGACGGGCACGGGAACAGTGGGCAGCAGCATATGCTTACCATTTCCGGGCGGCACCCCACCCACACGGCGTTCGCATGATGGGACGCCGAGAACGCCCCGCGCCCGCCCTCATGATGCTCCAACCTCCAATATGATGCGGCCTAGCGCCTAGCGTGGCGCACCGAGCCATCGGGACCATGAAAGTGAGCCCATCCGGCACGTCGACGGCACCGGACCGGACGAGCCCGCCACGACACGGCGCGTGCATCGCCTCTGCCCTACTACGCCGCCACGCAAGCAGGGAGAAGAAGCATCGCTCGCTCGGCAGTCCGCACTGCTCCAATCCAGTCGCGGCGGTCCCCCGGCGGGCGATACGGACGGCCCCGATCGAGTGGGGCCCGCCTACCCTGCAGCGCCTGCGCCCATGTATAAATACGCGGAGACAGGCTCGGTCCGCGCGTGCTCTCGCTCGATTTCGGGGGCGCGGGCGGATCAGACGGCGGGGAGCGAATCCGGGGGCCCAGCTCCCGCACCTGCCTGGCTGTGGCTGCGAGCCTGCCTCCCCCTCCACCACTCCACCCTTCTCTCCACCACCTCCCCTGCGCCGCTGCTGCTGATCTCGCGAGCAAGAAAAAAACAAGGGGAAGAAATCTCCTCCCCCGTGCTGTTGCCGTTTGTTTGGCCTCGACCGCGGACCGCCGCTACCATCCAAAAGGCGGGCAGCAGACCGGTGTCGTCGCCCAAGCCCCAGCGGGATCTTGCTGCTCCACCGCCGCCTGCTGGGATCCTCCATTCAACTCGCACTCGCACCTGCTCCAGATATTTGACCCGTGAGGCGGCGGCAGGCAGCCAACCCGGGAGAAGAAGAGCAGGGAAGGTAATGGGGATCTTGTTCTTAGAACATAGCATTGGGGCCTCGCTGGCTCTGCTTCTCGCTACTCGTTTCTCGATATAGCTAGTGGTTTTTTTTTTGGTTTGTGCCTTTATCTCTGCGCTGCTCCATTGGCTGTGATATGATGTTGATCATCAAGATCTCCGACCCTTTCTTGGGTCCATCCGGTCCGGGGGGCCGCGGCAATCACCATTGTTTCCCGCTGTTGCCTTTTTCTCTGGCGTGGACACCCTTGCCCGGCAACGAGTACTCCTCGCTTGCTCCTTTGTCGAGACAGGATTGCTTGTTAATCTGCGCACCTCACATGTAGCCGCCGGCTTGCTTCATATAAATCGTTCCTCTTTTTATTTTTTGCAGGTGTTCTTCACTTGAGCTCATCTCAGCGTCAGAGGCAGGCAGGCCAGCAGTAAGCAGTAAGCAGATTCCACTGTTGCTGCGGCGCAAGGAGCATTGTCGTGGGCGTGGCGTGGCTGGCCAATTCGCGTGGAGACGGGGAAACAGCGGATGGGCGTTTGCTAACCAGTAAGTTAACTGTGCCTAGCTTTGGCATCAACCACTGCCATTATTGGTTGCTTAACTGTAGTTATTTTTCATTAGAAGTGCTTAGTGCGGTTGTTAATCTCTGGGTACCACGTTTCTTGGGGAGATTTGGCTGATAAGTGATAATACAGAGAAGTTGTGTTTGCCAATAGTGGGCACCACTCCCAGCCACTGAACCACAAAAACAATTGCCACAAAAAGCGCCTATTGCTCCAGGCCTGGCCCTGCGCTCGTGATTTCTGCCTATTTTTTTTTACCTAAAGCGCCTTGGAATTTTGAGGTTTCAAACAGGCAGTATGTATGTGCATCCTTCTTGTTTCTGCCCTTCTTAAGCAGTTTCTTCTCAATGAAAACAAAGGGCTTTCAAAGCGCAAGAACCCACGTACTCCCGTAGTAGACTTAGTTGGCTCCAAGTGTTTGTCAACCTGCTAGGTGATGCTGCCAGCCACTGTTAGCTATTTGTTGCTGTTCATTGTTTCCTGTTCTCCTCCTCCGGCAGCTCTGGTCTTACTGTTGCATGCACTTCACTACTCGCTCTGGGCTCTGCTGGGCTCTGGATTGTGGTTTCAGATCGAGTGATACTACGCATCGTAAGAGATCTATCAGAAGTTCAGAATCTTCTTGTTCTTGGCCACGAGTGAAGTCGGCACCATATTTGGAAGGGACACTCTACTCGTTCTCTCTACTAGCTCAAGAACCTCTACCGGTGCAGTGCAGTAGTCCAGCTCCAGCAGCCAACTTTGCTGTGATACTACTGTCACCTGCATGTGCCACGCCCACACATCAATCAATCCGTCTATCCTTCTGCTTTGCGGCCTTCGCCACTCCGCATTGACTTCGCCCTTCCCCAAAACTTAACGCACGGTTACATCGAATGTTTAGTATTAAATATAGATTTAAAAAATAATTACACGATTTTTGACTAATTTATGAGACGAACTTTTAAGCCTAATTAGTTTATAATTTGACAATAAAGTGCTACAGTAACACATGTGTTAATGCCAGATTAATTAAGTTTAATAAATTTATCTTGTGGTTTTTGATGGATTCTGTAATTTATTTTTTATTAGTATCCGAACATCCTATACGACACCCATATAACATCTAGGGCCTCTTTGGAACGTATGAATCAAAAACACGGGAATAGGAAAAAACGCAGGAATATGATGAGTGTGTAGTGGTAAAACAGAGGAAAGGAAAAACGTGGGAAATAACTAAAAGAGGTGTTTGGAACGTAGGAATCCATAACACATGAAAAACATAGGAAGTAACATTATTTTTTGTTTCTCTTCTCTTGTTGTCTCGATCTTCGTGAATCCATTGTTTTGGACTCGATGTTTTGTTTCCCGTAAAATAAACGGAGGTAGGAAACTTTTCTTTGTTTTACTGTCGAAGTTCTCTTTATTCTAAACAACATTTCTAGAAACCTTTATAAAGAATGGATTCCTATTATTTGAAATTCCTTTGAACAAGCCCCTAACGTGACACTAAGACTTTACCGGGCGCATCGATCTAGCCGAAAGTTTCCTCGATGCATAGTGCCCCTGCTCCCTAGCTCTTGCGAGCTAGCTAGGTCGAGCTCAGGCTTCAGCTCAGTGGGATAACCATGCACTGCATGTCGACTGTCGTAGCTAGCTACAGACACTGGCATGCCTGCCCTGCGACATGCATGCCATGGAGCTCTGAGCTCTACGGCCCGGCGCGTGCACGCACACACGGGGCCGGCGCGGGCCGGGGCCGCTTGCGCACGCGTGGGCTCTAGCGTCACTGTTTGGCTGTTGCCGGCCGTGCAGCGGTGCAGGGTCTTGATGGCGAGTGGTTGCGAACCGCTGGCCGTGGCGTGCATGCGTTGGAACGGAACGGACCACGGACGGCGCCAGCGTCACGCTGGTCTGAAATTGATAGCCTGCCGCTTCGTTCCCCGGGCATGCCTAGGTGATGCTTGTGCCCGTGTTCATGTGCTTTGCTTCCTTCCTGCGTCGGAGCTCTGGACGCGCGCGCCCGGTTCAATCTGATGATCTGGAACTGTTCGGTCGCAGCAGTTTATGCGAGTAGGGCCTCTTCCTCGCTGCGTCATTGAAGCTTCTGTTTGATTTTGTTCTGACTTCTCTGAAGATCTTTTAGGTATGCTTGCTTGCTTGCTTGCACGACTGATGAGTTTGCTCTGGTGCAGGCGCACGTACTGTTCCATTCCACTTCCACCGGCGGTCGAGGCGAGGACTGCGCTTGCTCTGCGGCGGGCGGCAAAGGGTTTCAAAATGCTGGCGTGCATCGCCTGCTCGACCAAGGACGGCGGGGATCAGGACGGCGGCCCCCGCGCCGCCACGCCGCACGGAAGGGACGCCGGCAAGTCCCTCACCTCCCAGGTAGAGTAGGAGTACTCCCCAACCTGCTGCCCCACTGCATCTGCATTGCATGCACGCTCCCCCATACTACGTGGATCATGGATGTGACGGCGGCGGATACGGCTGCTGGGCAGACGAGGAATGGGATGCGCAGATAGATTGCGCCGCGCGGGCGGCCGCGGCCCGGCTGTCCTGCTCGGTCTCGGCCTACCATGCGACGCATTGATCCGTGGATTCAATGCGCTGCGCAGGTCATCGTCTCCCCATAATTTTCGTACGGCGCCTGCTGCTTCTTGTCCGGCTTATATTTGTCTCCACGTTGTTGACGCCCAAGCAGAGCCCGAGACAGGGAGCGCAGCGCGGGCGCAGCTTTTCTCTGCCACACAAAATACTTTTGCTCGTACTACTAGTGCCAAGGTCGGCCGTCGCCGAGACAGGAAGTAAGCCCTCGGTTCCCCGCAAAAACTTTACGCGCCGTCACATTGAAGATTTGAAATATGCACATGTATTAAATATAAACTAAAAAAATAACTAATTATATATATTATGACTACTATCTGTGAGACGAATCTTTTAAGTCTAACTAGTCCATTATTTGACAATAAAAGTGCTATAGTAACACATGTGCTGATGACGGATTAATTAGGCTTAATTAATTTGTCTCCTGGTTTACTGACGTATTATATAATTTATTTTTTTTTTATTAGTATCCGAAACCGTAGATAATATCCGATGTGACACCGATCAAAAGACCAACTAAATTGGGATGCTGTCTAGGACTAGGAGTCGTAGTACTCGTACGGAGTATTATTGCGTAAAAAATCCATTCTCGTTTGAAATTGAGAGCGAGTTTTGATCCTAATTAGTCCATGATTGAACACTAATTACCAAATAAAAACGAAAGTACTAAAATAGCCAAATTCTCAAAATTCGCGAACTAAACACAGCCCAACTAAATTGGGATGCTATCGAGGACTAGGAGTCGTAGTACTCGTACGGAGTACTATTATTTTTCCTTGGCGTAAAAAATCCATTCTAGTTTGAGTTGGAATAACGTTTGAAAACGTCCGTTGATAGTACAGGGGTGAGTGTGACTGTGAAATAACGGCCCTGTTTACAATCATTACCAAATAAAATTCCTGTTACAGTAATTTTGATGTACGTATCGTTGGCCGGCGCAAACGCGGGCTGAGTTGGAATAACGTTTGAAAACGTCCGTTGATAGTACAGGGGTGAGTGTGACTGAAATAACGTTTGAAAACGTCTGTTCATAAAGCCGGTCAAGGCCTAGCCTAGTGGAATGTGACGGAGTGGGTACATGAGTCGACGTGGTGAAGGCTGCTTTTCCTTGCATTTTATGGATCCCCACACCCAAGGTTTTGGAGTTTGGACTCTCTGCGCAATGTGATGTTGTGATTTTGTCACTTTTGTTCCCCCGTTCTGCTACCCCCGTTTTTTTGGCACTTGCTAGATGCTTCTGTACCATTCAGGTCTGTCCTCCAGCTCCATGCAAAGCTGATCCTGGATTGCTAGTAGTAGTAGTACCCTGCATGATATTTTATCCTCTCGCTTTCCTTTTTCTTTGTTCTGCCAAAGATGCGATCGTCTCGTTGTGGAAGCTGGAAAGACATTCTTTGGTTGATTTAACCTGAGCTTTACTCTCTCGTCAAAGAATGTTTCATCTGGTCCTTTAGCAGTCTCACACCAAAAGAAAAAGAAAAAAAAAAGAATGTTTGCAGCCACACGTTGTGTGGTCCTGTACATGGGCTGGCTTGGGGGCCCTATAGCCCAGGCTGGGCCTGTCGTAGTAGCTGCCTGTTGCATCCTCTTGCTCATGACACGAAGTCACGAACAAGGCTGAGGATATGCATCACTAGGACTCGAGTATCCTTGTGTTGGCTTCCCGCGGCATGCTTTTGCCTTTGCTGTGCTTTAAAGGCACGGTACAAATGTTCTTGCCCACAGCAAAAACCAACACATGCACTCGTAGATCGTCCCCTCTGGGTGTTATTATGCGCAGCACCACTAACTGCTTTGTTGGTGCTTTGTACGTACCTTGCTTCAGACGAAAGATGTGCTGGGTTAGCGGGGAGGGTGCTTTTGTGTTCTGTAGCCTTCGCCTAAGTTATCTCATCTAACCCTAAAGCCTCAAGTGTCTTGTGTCTGCTACTGCTAATCTTAGGCCCTAACCGGAGTGGAATCCATCATTAACCGTCTGGTGTTATCATTGACGCTTTACTTAAAGACTGAATTCTCGCCTACGCTTGATTGTCTGTCGAGGTGTGCTGCTCTCGTATGCTATTTGGAAAGAAATGTGCCTACGGCCTATATACTACAAATTAAATAAAGCGATCGTTACTGTTGCAAGATTTGTAACTGAACAGTGTTAGGTTGTTCAAGAACGTAATCTGAGAAATTAGAAGCGAACTACTCCGTGCTAATTCATGCAAAAAATATCATTCATGTCATCATCTGACAAAAGAAGCCTTCCACAAATTTGTTTTCAGCTCAAGGACATGGTGCTCAAGTTCTCCGGCTCCGGCAGACAGTACAAGGCCGCGGCGATCCCGTCGTTCAGGGGCAACCGCTTCCACCGCAACAGCCGGCTTGCGGCGTACCCGGGCGTCATCGACGACTCGGGCTTCACGTCGGACGGCACCGCCGAGGGATACGGTTACATGAGGGCGACGACGACGACGGGCGCGACAGCCGCGAGAACCATGGCGCCGCCTGCGCCGTGGGACGCGGCCAAAGTCGCCCGTGGCTTCCCGCAGCACGTCAGGAGCCCGAGCGCGAGCTGGATACCGAGCATCGGGGAGGAGGAGGAGGAGGAGGATGACGAGGTCATCGTCCTGGAGGAGGACAGCGTGCCGCGGGAGTGGACGGCCCAGGTGGAGCCCGGCGTGCAGATCACCTTCATCTCCGTCCCGGGCGGCGCCGGCAACGACCTAAAGCGAATCCGCTTCAGGTGCCTATCATGCACGAACAGTTTTGCGCGCAATTGCTTGATCAAATGCGTGATCAGCTAACGGAGCATCGAACGTGTGCAGCCGCGACATGTTCAACAAGTGGGAGGCGCAGCGGTGGTGGGGGGAGAACTACGACCGCGTGGTGGAGCTCTACAACGTGCAGACATTCAGCGGGCAGCAGGGCATCTCGACGCCGACGTCCTCCATCGACGACGCCGCGCAGGTCCGTCGCCGACTCGCCGTCTCGATCGCCGGTCTAGCGTACGTTTTTGTGCTGTCGTCGTGGATCAGACCACACCAACTGAAACTGTTGGCATGCAGAGAGACTCGTCGTTCTACTCCCGCGCCGGCTCGACGAGGGAGAGCCCGGTGATCCTGCCGCCGACGGCAGCGGTGGGCAGGGAGCAGCCGATCGCCCGCGCCACCTCGTGCAGGGCCATGGCGGCGGCGGTGGCGGCTTCCACGGCCCGAGCCGCGTGCAACCCATCGTCCAGTGCCGTGCCGGACCCGTCGGACCACGTGTGGGCGCACCACTTCAACCTGCTCAACTCCGCGCCGGCGCCGGCGGCTGCTCCGCACCTGGACCCGTCGCGCGCTACCACGTCGTCCCTGGACGAGGCGTCCGTGTCCGTGAGCAACGCGAGCGACCTTGAGGCCACGGAGTGGGTGGAGCAGGACGAGCCCGGCGTGTCCATCACCATCCGCGAGTTCGGCGACGGCACCCGCGAGCTCCGCCGCGTCCGATTCAGGCAAGTCCATGGCCACTAGCTACTCAATCTCCCGATGCAAGACATCTAATCATGCTGTAAATCTTGTCATGCTAATGGGATATGAACTCGCGTTCTTGTGTGCTGTTGCTGCAGCCGGGAGAGGTTCGGCGAGGATAGGGCCAAGGTGTGGTGGGAGCAGAACAGAGACCGAATACACGCGCAGTACCTGTGACGTCGGAGCAAGCTAGCTAGCTAGCTCCTGGATGTGCAGTGCACGCCTTGGATGCAAGCCAACCCACCAATCCATGGACAATACTAGAGTACTGTAGGGCTGAGTGCTACTACTATCTGCTAGTGCTAGTTTTTACAGGGTGAACAGAGAGATGAAAGAGGTCCACGGAATGGAGCCTGTGTAAAACATGTTTGCTACTACTGATCAGGGTTTGCGTGTTGATGACCAATGTAATTTTTTCCCTTGGTGATGCACTAATATTGTATTGTGTTGATCTCATCAGATTAACTGTGCTCACATTTTCTAAGCGCGGGCACAGATCCACAAGAGACCCAGCAAGCTGCCCCTGGTATAGACAAAAAATTCACTCTGCAATGACAAAAGAAAGCAAGACTAAAATTCTCTCCAGTTTCGCGTTTTTGACAAGTCGTGTACCATAAGGAGGACGCGTTTGCCATCGTTACATGACGTACGTCAAATTGACACTTTACTGCGTCCTCACTTGTGGGCTGTACAGTGTCCATCCCTTGTTGGGCTCAAGGATTTACATGCTATTAATGTGAATAAAAACGGTTTGACAGAAGGATTGATGCAAGACAAACCAAATCAAATTAATATCACAATCATGTTTATTAAAACATGGGGGCAAGCTTGATGCTGGCAACAAGCAGATCAACGGCCCGGAAGAGGGGAAGGCTTGATGCAGGCTCTAGCACTTCACAAAGGAATTTGCAAACCCATTCTAAGATGTCTCGATGCAGCAAAACTGTGGCGATGGCAAATCCGTCAACAGGCAAACGCTCAGGCTGAGCTATCCTCTTCGGCACACTTGGTTTCTGCACACTATACTAATAGCCCTCCTGCAGCTGATCGAATTTTCACTCTACATACCCTCATTTAGCTGACCAATTTTCTTGTCAGCCTCTTTGCTGGAGGGATATCGTCAGACTTCCCAAGAAAGTCCGACTTACCATGTCCGGCCTTCATCATCGGGGCAGCAGGCTTCACAGTGCTTCGTGTTCTCGAGGTCACAGACATCTGGGATAGTCTCTCTGTAATTGATGAGACCTTTTGTATTGCTCCTCGACCAGTTTCAGGCAAGCTGCGTGAATGCCTAAGTACAGGATTCCCTACAATTCCAAGAAAAGAAGTTTCTAAAAATCAAAACCCAAATTTCATGCAAGGAATTGGGTAATGCAACCCTATATAGTAAACTTGCCTGGGCTATTCCGAGCTGGTACCCGATTTGTAGTTAGTTTATTGCTATTCTCGGTTGGTTTTGTACTCTTGTGTGATGGCTGACGATCCAAGTGAAGTTTTCTTTGTACACCTGCAATGTTGGTAACAAAATATACAATCAAACTAAATCCTTTAAATCTTGCTTGCTCCAGCCCAATTAAAACAGATAAGAAACATACCAGTCTTAGATAAACCATTTAATTTTGTGGATGCATTGCTATGAGATTTCATCGTTGATAGAGTTCCAGTTGAGAATCGTCTAGCGACACTGTTCTCTGAAATTCCTTTTGCTCCAACTAAAACAAATGAACCAAGCACATGTAAAACAACAATATCCTAAATGAACTAGGTGCAAAGCAAAATACTAGTCTGTTAACTAACCACATGGAGGTGTTTTAGGAGCTTTTGGACGGACAGGAAGTGGAACATATGTACAACCCTAAAAGTTGGCAACCGGAAATTTGATTATAGTCCTGAGGAGACAGTACCTGAGCCTTGTCAATAAAAATAGAGTAGAAAGACTATTACCTGAAAGAAGGTATGCTGGAGGACTTCTGTGGCCTTTGGTCTCTTGCTAGGATCCCATGAGCATAGTGACTGCAAGACATGCAGAAATTTAAATTATCATGTAATGCAATGATCGATTGATATACCATCTAAAATAATACTATAACTGAAGAACTTACTGATATGAGGTCAATTGCCTCGCTACTAGCTGTTGTCATCACCTCAGACAGTTGACTGCCTTTGATCTGCATGGATAGAATACACACTCAACATTAGATCAAACATTAACTAGTCATTCAACATGTATTCACATTCACAATGAGGGGGCAAAAGGTAGCACAATCCATCCTTTTCAGTGGAGTCCAACTATGGTAATCAAGAAAGAGAATGGCATAAACAGCATAACACTTCTGGTATCTGATGGGGATTTTGGAAACAAGTACAAGAGTAATAGGATTTGAATGGACTGTAGCGGAAACGATGAGGACTCGAGAAAAACTTGGGACAAACAGATTCTAACATTTTAGGACGAATTAAATGACGTGTAGTGTACTGTTTCATTTGTTGCAACAAACAAGTTCCTAAAAGAAAGTATCAAGAAAATCATGACGTGTGTAGTGTACTGTTTCATTTGTTGCAACAAAGTTCCTAAAAGGTATCAAGAAAATCATGATAATACTCCCTCCATTGAAGAAAAAGCATTGTTTTGGACACTGAGTGTCTTAAACATAATCTTAATCACTTAATGCAAAATAATTTTAAACCTAACAAAAATTAAAATGTTCAGGAAATATTGTTCCTAAAAGATCCTACTTTTACAAATAAAGAACTACAACTGATTTGACATAACACCAACAGAACAACTAGGGCATGTTGTAGTTTTCTGGTATTTAATCTACTTTTATTAGATCCAAATACACTGGCTGCATAATTCTAGGTTAACGCATGTTTCTTTAAAAACTTTGAGGCGGCATCAAAGAGAAAAGAAACTAGTGAATATTGACCTGTGGGAACTGATACTTCATTGCTTCTGCAAGAGACAATCCTTGAGGCCAAGATTGCTCATCTGGACTACCGATAACATTGCATATCTTGTGAATCTCATCAGCTTCACTAATAAGTAGTGAAATAAGAAAACAGGGGTAAGAGAATAGCCATAATGAGACAAAACAAGAAAATAGAGATTCTTAATTATTTAATTGAAATGAGGGGTCTGCAACAAATCTATTTTCTGGAGAGATAAAGAACCAAAAGAAACTAAATTTTGGAACAGATTTGGACATTTAATTTGAGATAAGTCAAACATTAAGGCGACCAACAAGAAAGCAGCAAACAAATTGAGCAACAGATTTGTGAGTGACAAGCTTTAGCAGCATACACAGTCAACCCTATTACCTGGTTCCAGGAAAGAGAGGATGGAGTGTCAACAGCTCAGCCATTATGGCACCCATTGCCCACATATCTATGAGATGGCAAGGTGAAGAAATGTCAGATTACGAGTTGAGTTGGTCCATCCATGAATAGGCAAACAATAAGCAAATAGTAAGTTTTTTATTTTTATTTTTCATACCAACTGCAGAATCAAAAAAAAAAAAAAAAATCATACCAACTGCAGAATCATAAGCAGATGACTGGAGCAAGACTTCTGGTGCCCGATACCTAAGGCATTCAAACATAGGGATTAACAAAAGACACGACTGATTTCTTTTATTTTGGTGTCTAGTTTGAAGAGAGGGCAGTGCTAACCAGCGAGTTGAGACATATTCTGTATATGGTGGCAATGATGAGACTTCCCTTGCAAGACCAAAGTCTGCTAGCTTTATGATATCTTTGCTAACCAACAGATTCTCTGCGCAACCAAGGCATTATCAGTGCAATATGGCATACACATAAGTAAAACTGAGCTGCTGATTCAGATGCAGTCATGTCATATACTCCCTCTAGTGCAAGAACTATCGTTTATGGGTTGCATGTGGTCAAAATATCAAAATTTCAGCCATGAATTAACATTTTTGCACAAGACTAATCATTTGAAAATGGTATGTGTACATTTTTTTCAAAAGTAGTTGGTATGTTTTATGAACATCATGCAATGTTACACCAACGTGATTATCTCACAATGTGGGGAGTATCTCGCCTGAGGGAGGATATGTACAAGGTGTACGTGAGTTTACTAGACTACCTATATTGCTATATTATATAGACTGGTAGCCAAAGTTATGTTTCGGTAATCATTTGATGACTAAGTAACCATTTTTTTATATGCTATGGAAACATCTCAACTGATTATTGACAGCACTGAGAACCTACCAGGTTTGAGGTCACGATGAAAGTAGCCCCTCTGGTGCATGTAAGCAAGAGCCTGAAATATCTGAAAGCACCAGTTGCGGACTTCAGACTCTGAGAAAGGCTTGACCCTATCTTTCATAAGTTGGTAGAGATTACACTCCTAGAAAAACAAGGGTTCAGATTCAACAAGAGCACAATAATGGCGCAGTAGAATATTTGCTATCCATAACATCTTAATTACCATGTATTCCATTATGAAGTATAATATATCATTTTCCCTGATAACCTCTTTAAGCTTCACAATGTTAGGATGATTCATGCGCCGCAAAGACTTCATCAATAAAAAAAAAGGTCAGCTGAAAGAACATAACAGGGAATGATAGTAAGAACATCACTGGTCTAAAATACCTTTACTTCACGCAGACTCATACATTCCTCAAAAGAATAATACTTTTTCTTCATTTTCTTAACAGCAACCTACATTAAAGCATCGGCAAATTCTCTTGTTATTATTATTTCATTCAGAGTTCACAGTAAAAATGTTTCCAGATAAGTTCTATCTTCAGATACATACAACTTCACCATTCTGTTTATTTATAGCACGCCATACACTCCCGAAAGTCCCATCACCAACTTCCTTAATCAACTTGAATCTGCAAAGACATGTTGTAAGACAAAAACAACCTAGAATAGAGAATCTGTAGAACTAAGTGTTATAAGATAAAAGCAACCTAAAATAGCCAGTCAGTATAAAAGTTACCTATCCATTGTTGTGGTATCTGAGCTGCCTTGTGCAAGTTTTCTCCTTCAGAATAACCAAGTCAAGAGAAATATGAACAGCCAACCACAGGCACGTGTTTGCCAAGTTCTAGCTGATCAATCTCTTGCCTGCAATTAGCAAATAAGATAAGGTCTGCAATTAATTGACAGTCTCAGAGCAGAGAAAAAAGATGATCCGTAAGGCTGATATGGTTTGAAAAAATAAACTACCTCAGTATGTAGGATTCTGTTCCACTACAAGCCCACTGCAACCATAGCATAAGTTGCTAAGTAGCAAGGATGAGCCCTGACCTCAGATAGTACACAAAAGACAAAAAAAAACTAACTAGGGCAGCAACAGATGTCGGCTGAACACAGCAAAGATATTAACCCTGTAAAAAGAGAAAATAAGAAATGAAATTTAGAATATTTCAAGTTAGCCACTAGAATTGAATTTCTTCACATGCCAATGTATGTGGCAAAGTGAAGAGAGATATGCATACCCCACTTATATGAGCACCATCTACCTGAAAAGAAGCTTTTCAGGAGTTGATGTGCTGGTAGGAATTGGGAAAACTGAGAAGGAAAAATCATGTGAATACAATAACACAAAACAAAGGAAGACCAAGGTGGTGGAGTTACATGTAGATGTCTGGAATAGACTGAAATATATAAACTTCAGGAAAATATTGCATCAGCCTGCTTGTTGTTGAGCATAGAGGAGCATATAACCACTATGTGTAGTTCACCAGAGAGGAGAGATGGGTGTTCCCACGAGCTAAGACACACCAATCAAGAGTTTCTTTCGAAAAGAACTGCTTGCATTGAAGGAGATATGCCCGGCAGATCACTTTTTCCATGTCTCAGATGAACGCTTCAAGCCCCCAAATTCACTGCTCCAGAAATCTAATCAACAGTTTGAGTCAGAAAGCACACAATAAGCAAAAGGGACTAAAAGACACTAATCAAAACTTGACAACATTTACAGCTACAGAGCATGTCAAATTGTTGCAAAATGAATTAACCTTAGGCTCTTAGCATGCCCAAATATACCAGAATACATAAAAATAAAAGACACTATTGGAATTTCTTTCTAATAAAAGTTGGGCTACCTTTTCTCGTCAATAATAATGAAATTGTTCCGTCCACACATTGCTAACAAGTCTATTGCCAACACAGTGACATTCTAAATCACCGTGCTCTTGGGAAAATCAATGCAATTGCATTTGCAGCTAAATTCAAGATGAACTAGAGTATTATCAATGTAGAGCATGAGTACCACACAACAGAGATACATCGAGGCTGCTATTCTATCAGGTGCAATAACAATATCATGAAAATCATGATATACTCCAAATATCTTGCAAAGACAACCAACCACAAACAACCACCCCCGAGGCCCCGAACAGCAAAATGATAGCATTAGGCTGTAACTAGAAGAGCAAACGACCTGCATTGGACCTCAGTCGCAATTTACACCTTCTCCGCAACAGAAAACACAAATTTTATCATCCAAACAGAGACAAGAAAAAGAAGAGGATACTTTTACCATCTCGGATGAGGGGGAGAAAAGGACCTTTTTCCAACATAATACAAATCAAGCCAATGAAACAGATCCAAAACATCGTACCACAAAACACAGCATCACGCAAGAGGCATTACAGCGCACCAACTCGCCGCCCAGATCTGGCCGTCCGGTGCACAGATCCAGGGCCAAATCCCGCCCAGCAAGCAAAAACAGAGAGAGAAGCGAGGAAGCCTCCGCAGAGACAGGGCGCACAGAAAAGCGCCAGGCGCGTAGAGGCGACACAGGAATCGATTCCAAACCTTACCCTGCGGGCGAGGACAGAGCATAGGGTGGTGTCGTCGCCCCCCGCACGTGGTTGCCGCGTGCCCTGCCTCCCTGCTCGCGCAGGCAGCCCGCGCGGACCGGGGGGAAGCGAGCCGCACCGGCACCGGCACCGGCGGCGGCGTGTGGGACGGGAAGGAAGAAGGGGGGGCAGCGGCGGGCCTTCCGGATTCTACCCGCGTCGCGCTCCGTTACTTTTTATAACCATGGCAGGCCACCGCAGCACAGCACCGCCTCCTCCTCTCCTCGCGTCGCCTCTCGCGCTCCGCCCCCGCCTTGGCCTTGCCTGCCTGTCTGTCTGCCGCTCGCGGCGTCTCCCCTTTTTTTGCCCGCTTTTTAACCGCTCCCCCTGTTCGTTTTTTTGGGCTCGCCCCGCCGGACGCCAAAGCGCTCGCCTTTCACCACCCTCCCTCCTCTCTTTCTGTACTACGGAGCCCACCTGCTATTGGCAACTTGGCATCAGGGCGATTGCTCGGGAAGAGGAGTTGGCAACTTGCCATCGATGCCGGCTGGATTGGGAACGAGATCCTCTGTCGGTCTCCATGACCGGCAGCACTCCATCGCTGCCGTTCAATGCCATCCGATGGAGCAGCTGAGCCCACACAATACCTCCTTCGCACGTGCATGTTTTGGCCCAATAACACGGCCTAATAAGCGGAAAAAGCAGCCAGCGGCGTTCCTCTTTTTGGCGCGGACGCAACTTGTTTTGGCGCGGGGGCTGAAGCCAGGATGACCAAGGCAAGGCGGCGATCATCGACTGCTCGTGCTATGCTATCGTTGATACAATCAATTGGTGGAGTACTCTGCACTCCTAGATCTTTCTATCTACTAAGATTTTTCGTTGTTCTAATCTAGTCATCACTGGCATCCCTAGATGTGTTGATATGGATTGAAAGAAGTTCTTTGTCTGCGTGAAAACGAAACCTACATGTTTTAGATGTCAGAAAATAGGTGTGTAATCATGATTGTTTATTTGCATCATCGGATTAGATTAATGGCTTCACACAAGTACAGAGTCTCCATTTTAGTTGCTCAGTTTAGCACCAAATCCTTTTGTTTTGGTTGTAGAGAGAGTTTGATTCCTGATTTGTTACCTTAAGTTGACATGGAGTTCAGTACCATAGAAGAGGCCGAGATGTTTTGGGTTACCTTTGGAGGTCAAAAAGGCTTTGAGGTTAGAAAAAAGTATGCAAACAAAAAATCTGATGAAAAAGTTAAACCATGCATATATGTTTGTGCAAATGAAGGTCATAGAGTGCAAGATAAAAGAGATCATCTCACAAAGTGTCCAAGAACTGAAACTAGAACTGATTGTCAAGTCCTCATAGGTCTCATACTAGACCAGGAGAAGGGAAAGTATAAAGTAACTGATTTGATTTTGGAATACAATCACACCCATCAATTGCCGCAAACCTCACACTTATGGTGTCTCAAAGAAAAATTTCAAAGTTACAAGGTTTTGAAATTGAGACGGCTAATGATGTAGGAATTGGGCTCAAAGCTACACATGAGTTGGCTTCCATCCAAGTTGGTGGCTCACTTAATCTCAGTTACACTATTCGAGACCACAAGAACTATTTAAGGGGCAAGTGCCAAAGAGAAATGGCATATGGTCAAGCAGGAAGCATGCTCATGTATTTTTAGAAAAAAAAATTACTGAGAACAAAGAGAGTAGGCCATTTGGTGTATTTGTTGGGTTCAATTAATTTAGGAAAACCGTGGTTTTGGTGGTGTTCTCATGTATGATGAGACATTTGAGTCCTTTAAATAGTTATTTGAGACTTTCCTGAAAGCGCATAATGGCAAAAAACCTAAAACAATCTATACTGATCAAGATGCTGCAATGGAAAAAACAGTTAAGGCGGTCTTTTTGAGTCTTGGCATGGTCTGTGCACTTTTCACATCATGCAAAGTGTTGTTAAACATCTAGCTGAACATTATGATGATGAATCAGCTACTTCTCCAAAACAAGAAGTCAAAGGCAGCAACAAAGAAACAAGTATTCTCTCATATTTTAGTACATGTATGTATGTGTCGGTGCAGAAAGTGATCAACACGTAAATATTTGTAGTTTTGCTGTACGTTGTGATCGGAGGTGGCCTAGCACTCAATGACACAGGGTTTATACTGGTTCAGGCAACGTGCCCTACGTTCAGTTTGAGTCGGTCGGTGACTTTATTCCTAAGCCTAGGTGCTCGAAGTTTGCTGTGAGGTTACAAACGGAAGGGAGAAAGATGGGGGTACAAGAGGTCCGGTCGGACTCCGGTCTGAAGGATCGAGAGTGACGGGAGCTCCGCTATGTGCTAAGTATTTGAGCGTGTGCTCGAGGTTTGAACTTAGTGGTTCTCCTGTTGTGTGTGTTGTTCGAGTTGTTGTGAACCGATCGATCTATCTGTTTGAGAGAGAGCGCATCCCCTTTTATAGATGAAGGGGATGGCTTTACAAGTGAGAGGGAGAGAGTGTACGTATGCTAAGTCTTGTTGCCCATGCTATCGGGTACAGGATGATTGTAGGCGCCCATAACACTGTTAATGTCAGATGCATGTGGGAGGTCGCGTCGTCTTCTTCTGGTATGGCAGACGTTGGTGTCTGCCATACTATTGATACCCAGAGGCATGCAAGGGGTTTTGCCATGTTCGTCTGGTACGGTAAATGTCGGCGCCTACAACAATGTTGATGCCTCATAGGCACGTGGGGGGAGCCTTACCGTGTTTGTCTGGTATGGGAGTTGATGGTGCCCCAACACTGTAGGGGAGATGTTGGCGCCTACAACGCTATTTGGGTTCTGTCATGCCAGGAAGGTCGCAGGGTACTGTCCGGCAGGTGTCGCGGTTGACTTGGGTGCCCTGCCTTACTTTCTCCATCTGTTTCTTGGTCCTTATCGAGCGGGTGTCCTCGGTCGGTTGGTCCTAGTCGGCTTTGATTGCGCTAGTCGGAGAGAAGCTGTAAGCAGGGGTTCGGCGCATTCCCGGTCGAAGAAGCGGGTCAGAGTCGGAAGTGGTGTTTTGGCTAGGCCTTCTGGTCGGAGAGGCTGTCCGGAGGTGGGCTAGTGTTGGAAGCGAGCGTTGTTCCTCTTTTGTGAGGCCACCCGGTCGGAGAGGCGGGCCGGAGTCGGAAGCGTCGTTCCTCCTCGGTCAGGCCTTTTGGTCGGAGATTGGAT